CTGACGGCCCAGGCTCCTCTGAGTTGAGGCGGTCAAAATCCTCAATGAGGCTTTTATCTATGACGAAGCGGGAAGGAATACATTGCCGCTCCTCAGGACCATAACTCTTCCAGTCAACCAGTAGCTGTCGCCCTCTACCCCTTTTCCGACTAGCCAAATAGTGGTCCTTGACTGTGTATAATCCTTTTGGACCTCTCTATCGATGCATCCGGCGGGGCGGGGGGGGTTTGGCGGTGGGAACCAAGCGCTCTCCTTCGATGGTTTTAGTTTTCCTCTACAATTGGAAGGTGGGATTGTTGACTTTTTCATGGCCCTGGGAAGCCGTAGTTCTCAGCGAAACCGGGTTGATGATCTTGGTGATGGGAACAAGGACCCACAAACCTGGGGAGCCAATTTCGGGAGAGTAACGTTGGAGGGAAAGGTCTCGTGTAAAAGACCCAGACTGTTTTGGCCTGGCTTGGTAAAATACAAGGGGCCCTGGTCCTGCGTTTCGGTTCTTGCTGCTCTTAAACCAGTTGTTGAAAAAGCCGGTTAGAGCGGGCAACCCCTTAGGCAAAGGAGCTCCAGCATTGGCTCGTATTATCTCCTCTCGTACTGGACCAAGTCAGCGCTCCTACCACCCGGTTTAACTTGGATGATTGGGTTCTGGCTTCCTTTGACTTGCAAGCACAGGGTCAAATCAGACGGGAACAGAGCGTCAGGCTTGACATTCTGAGACCTCGCCGACCTTGTAGGAAAGAACAAAGTCAAAACGGGTTAAAAAAAACAAGGTTCCACGCTTAGCCCCCTGGCGGGAGTTCAGCTTCTTTGGCTTTTTCTTATATAGTCCAGGTTTTTGTGATCGGTCCCAGACCACAAAAAGGATTGTCTCGGCTCCCTCCAAAACCAATGCCTCCAACTCTCCAGTGCCAAGCTTCATTGGCCAGCAAACTCACCGGTTTTCCACACGTCGTAAATTTCTCTCTGCGGGGAGAGCTTCTGGACAGGAAAGCGCAGGGGTGAAAGTTTGTTTGTCCTCTCTGTATCGCTGGGAGATGGAAACCATTGCTCCCACCCCTTCGTCTTTGGATTGGCATCCACTTCTGTACTCTCTCTTTTCTATGGGAAGCAGAGGTGAAAACATTCCTTTAAGGCCTAGAAAAGCCTCCTCAGCCGCGGAGACCACTAAAAAAGCACTTGTAGGGATGTGAAGGACATGAA